AGCAAGCATTGCTATCAATCACTAATGAGTGCTGCTTTAATTCTAATTTCTGTAGCTTTTATCTATGTAGCTAGTAATTTTAAAAACTTGTCTTAGAGTAGGATGTATATCAAATGTTTTTCAGTGAATTTCTTTTCAACTGAAAAACCACCTGAACAGATTCAAAATTAGGCAAAATTGCAAAATTCTTTCTGCCTTAATCAAAGTTGTCGTGCCTTATGTAAGCATAAATGTTGAGGTAAAGAAAAATGAAATTCATGTATTCTGAGTGAGTCTCATTTTATACCATTTCCCTCCTCCCCCCCCACTCCTGATTATGCAAAATAAAAGCCAAAGAACAAGGCCATTCATGTGTATATTTTTAATGATGGGTCTCAGAATGACAAAGAAATTGAAGTGGTAGATCAGTCAACAGTTCAAACACTCAGGCACAGTGGTTTGTAAATTCATAGCTGTGGTATCTTCACTGAAAAACCACTGTATTAGAAATAAATTTATTGCAGTAACTGATTCAGTTCCCACTACCACCTGTCTCTCTCTGTGTTTTTTTTTTTATTAACAGCTCTTAATCTCCACTGTTCACTAATAAAAATATTTTAATAAGAGATAATACTGTAATCCAAATGCCTATAGGTGCTTGAATCAACTATTTCTGCCTGTGTAATTGCTAGCACTTTGTTCAACCCTTTTTAAAATTGCTATTAAATCTCATTCTCATTTTCTGTATTAATAGAACTAGAATTCATTTTTAGTGTACCCTCCAAGCAGTAATGAGCATTGTTAACGTGTAACAACAATGCCCAAGGGGAAAGTTTTCAAAGCTGGCCTAACGTTAAGGCTTTGCTGTTGATGTACTACAGAGTCATCAAGCCAAGAGCTCTTAGAACTTGTCCATTTAGAGAGCTCAGCTCAGAATATTTCTGCTTAATATATTGGAAGAATTATAAATGGTTTAGGTGGTGACCTAGGGAGAAAGGGGATTTTTTCTTTAATACCTTAAGAATAGAGGGGCAGCATTAAAAAATTAACACCTCCTGCTTATTTTAAAGTGAATCAAATTGTGCTTTTGTTCTGATGGTTTTGCTTCCTTGCAGATTTTCATAAGAGGTTAATGAGAAAAGATTAACAAAACATGCAATATTGCACATGGGTAAGGGAGACGAAACATAATCATTTAGTTATAAACAAACAATAGATGTTATTTTTTAATTGCTTTTTCAGAAGCCAAATTCTGCCTTCTTGAAGAAGTATTATGTATCTTTTTAAGTTCAGAATATTATCCTTACTTATTATATATAGCAAAAATAAACCTGCCTAAAGCTGTAGTGCTTCACTGATTGCAACTGAATGCCTCGGTCACAATAAAGCAGTCAAGACCCTATAGATAAAAAGTCCTGTATAAGGTGCAGCAAAATGACCTGGAGTGCTAGAATTTGACATTGATTCTTTAGGTTAGCTGATGGTGGTGGAAATGGCTTAGCCAGTTTCTGTTTGGGCTAAAAATTAAGAGGCTCAAACCCAGTGTATTACAGGAGTGATACAGAAAATCATCATTTTCCTTGCACTTTTGAGTCTTGGTTTCATTACTGTATAGGATATAAGGGCGCATTTTAGATGATAGTTGAAGATTTCTACAGAGATTTATTGATTGTTCCAAAATCCGAAGCCAGTGGGGAAGCAGGGGTGGAAATTTTCTTTTGTTGGAGTTCAGTTTGTCCATTAAATGAATGCACAAATTATTGTCATTTAGCCATCTTATTTCACAGCACTTGGTCTCACCATTGCCCTTTCCTTGGGTATAAGCTAGAGATCATCATGTCCTGAAACATTTAATATGAATAGAAAAGTTCAGTAATGCAAAAGCTCAAAAATAGTGGAAGTTTAAGAAATGTGCTGTGTGCTGTGTATTTATTTCATTTTTTTTTTAATAGGAGGATGATATAGGAGCAATCTTACTGGTTAAATAGGTTTCAGACCCTTGCAATTTCATAAACACATGCTTTTCATTTTAGAGCTGGGCCTTATACAGCTTTTTCTGTTAAATAGCAAATAAAGAAGTTGGTTTGTGTTGCAGACAGAGACTTTTAAGAGAGGACTCTACCAAGGGACCTTATATAAAATCTTATTTAATGTTTGGTTTTAATTCTCAAAATAAATCAAATTGAGGTGAGATGTTGAATCTGATAACAGGAAGACAGAAGGTTTTAAAAAGCATGAATTAAGGCTTTATAGATTTTTCTTTCACCCTTCCTTCCAGGCTACTCCACACCATACTTCGTGTTTCATTCTCTTCGGGTATGTCCATCCCTGAAGTGACAATAAGGCATACATTTGAAATTTCATATATTCTATTTTTTCGCCTGAAAATAAGGCTTTCCTCTGGGCTCTTGCATAGAAAAATTCATTCCCCGTGCTTATTTAGTCTTGGTGTGCATTGTCAGAAAGGTGGCTGATGGCAATACTGTGAGGAGGAACTGGCTTCTACCCATTGCTCATAGACCACTGGAATGTGTGAGATGTGCAGGTTCTTGGGCATCACATTGAGCATGTATTTCATGTAGTTCAGTTCTCGTGATTACATCTTTGGATAAAGATTCATTTGGAAGTCTTCCTCCCCAGAAATTTCTGTAAAGCCCAGTCCTCATCAGGCCCTGTATGGCCTGTCAGGAATCTCCAGTTGGCTCAGGACTGCCAAGTGAACAAACTGATTGTTATTTTTACCCCATTTTATGTGGACTAGACATGGTCTCTGATATCTAATCTATAGATTAGCAGCAAGCTTGAACCTTTCCTGCCTAATGGCCATTTGACTTTCTATTGTCTTTTTCTCATAGTTGCCTAAATTTGTTTTGTCAATTTTTCACCAGGGAGCAAAAGAAAAGGAAAAGCTTTTCCTAGATCTGCTCTTTCACCCCTAGAGTCCCATTATGTTTGAGCTGTTCCCTAGTCATGTATCCTATTTCTTTAACAACCATTGCCCCTCTGGTATATTAATTCATGTATAATGCTGGCTTACTTGTCATTGAACTGCCTGCTGTAGCTCTTCCCTAGTTCACAGAGACCTTGTTCCTTTCTCCCTGCAGAATCTGGGCTTCTTTAGAAAGAGTGAATGGATTTGAGCTTCAACTGATAAATACATGCATTTGAATCAGTGACTTATTTGGGGCTGGGTTGTTTTTGATTACTTTATCTGTAGTTATTTGCATCTATTTGGCTCAGACCTGCTGGGGGTAAATGAATAAATAAATTTGAGGAAAAGGCAAAAAGAGAGCAGATGAATGAATGGAGGACAGAGAAAGAGAGGAAGACTAGGCAGAATGGGATGGATTCTTGGTGATTAAAATGTATGGAAAAGTAAGGATCAAGCAGTGATCCAAGTAGAGAAAAGAAATAAAAAGGATTCAAAACTGAAAATAATGGAGAGCCTGAAAAGAACAGAGTGAAAAAGAAATAAGTAAGAGCCTGGTGTATGATTATACTTAAAAGAGCTACTTTTAACTGTGTGAGAGGGCTGGGACTGTGCACCAGCAAAGGGAAGAGTTTGTCCAGGGGATCGAGGGATGATGCTCAGGGCTGTCCAAGATTCAGAGCCATTCCATCAAGTTAAGGGCTTATGTACTGTGAGCTCACATTAGCAATGTCTCTGGATCTTTTGCACAGATCCACGTGGAATAATCATGTAATGAATCATGTAATGTTCCTCTTTCAGACTTTCTGGTTTGGGTTGGCATTTCTTTGTGCCCTCCAATCTTCATTCCTCTATCAGCATATAAAATTAACTGGGAAACAACAGTGAAACAACTAAGCACTACTAACAGGACTTCTTTGACTTAGTTATATTGAAGCCACCCTGTATTTTCACATCCAGTTTCGTACTTCTGCATGTTATCCCTTGTCATATTACATCTCAGAAGCTCTGTTAGCACTTGCAGGCAGAGAGTATCTTTGTTCAGTGTTACACATGTACTCACACAAGCACTAGTGTGAGTCCTGGAAGTGGATGCTGGGGCTGAGGAGGGAAAATCTTTGTTAGTACATTCCTGCTTTCTTAGGCTCCTGATTTGGGAATTCCTCTCTGTTCACAGAGCAGCAACTAGTGTTGCTTCTCCTGCCCACTATGTTTATTTTCTCCATGTTTTATTAGGAGGTCAGGGGGCTTCCAGGCACTTTCAGTTTGCCTGCTTTCTAACTGCTTTTGACCTCTGTTCTTGAACTCTTACTGTAGAGCTTAACTTTAAACAGATGACTGTGATTATAAGTATTCACATGTTAATAATAAAATATGTATTTAAAGTGCCTTACTGGTTCAGTTTTGAAGAGAAAAACATTTCCACTCTGTGTCTGCATTGCATCTATCACAGAAAGGTTCTTAGAATTAGCTGGGGCTTCTAGCAGTTAATGGACAGTACTTTACCATTGGTATGTGTATATTTATATTGACTCTAGTGGTTCTCCCCAACCCATCTGAGAGTGAACTCCTACAGTAATTACTTAATAAAATTTTGACATTCCCTGTCCCAGACACCTTACAGCCTGGAAAAGCAGGGAAAGCACAACAAATAAAATAAGGAATCATAAAATGGTAGCACAGAGACCATCACATCCAACAGCATATGTGTTTCACAGAGGTTGATGCATATTACTGGTGGAAATACTTTTATGCCTGTGTTGTCTCAGGAAAGGAAGGATTGTCCAGTAGCTCAGGCAAACCGTGGGGATTAGCTTCTGTTCCCTGCTTCGAATCCCTGGACACAAAGGGAAGCTGGGACACTTCTCATGGTGACGTCTCTCATTCATCCCTGGAGGAATGAGTCACAAAAGTGAAGATGACAATTCATGTCTTGAAACATGCATGTGCTAAATAAAAAATACCCATTGGAAGGAAAATATGTCATCTGCCATAGGAGAAGTTTTGGGAACATTATTTATTTATTGGTGATTTCTCTCCTGTCTTCCCCCCCACCCCAATTTTTCTTTTATTTTTCTTTCTGTTTTTCCAGCAGTTGTATGCTGCCCAACTTGCTGCGATGCAAGTGTCTCCGGGAGGCAAGATTCCTGGCATTCCCCAGGGGAACCTTGGTGCTGCCGTGTCCCCTACCAGCATCCACACAGACAAGAGCACAAACAGCCCTCCACCCAAAAGCAAGGTACTGTACCAGGCCTGTGCCTCTCAGTTGCAGGGAGCTTTGTTCCCAGGATGTCTCCCTGGAATGGGAGGATGTTGTTGCAAAACTACTAGGAAGAATTTAGCTAAGGAAAGCAGGGAGAAAGCAGTCCTATTTAGGTGACAGCAAGAGCTTGATAAAAAATGTGTCCTTCCTTTTTGTTAGTGCCTCTAGCATGCTGTCCATGTCCTTTATCATGTCAGGAGAGATTCCTTGAATTGGCAGTAGTGTCTTGTTTTTACCCTAACAGTAAAGCAGCACAGATTAAAAATAACCAGACAAATAAATAATACCATTGTCATCTCAGTGAGATACACGTTCAAAGAATGAAAGACATGGCTTGAAATCAGTAGCTGCTGTGTTGATGAATCAACCTCTAGGTTGTCTCTTTTCTCTCTCCTTACTGTAGACCTTCTGACTTCCCGTGGCTTTTCCTTGGCTTGGCCTCTTCCCTTAGAGCAAGAAGATTATGATTTGTGTTTACAGAGCTGTGCAATACTTGATGGTAGATTCTTGGGCTTTAGATTTTTTAAGAAGTATTCAGTTACCAAGTTTGTGCATTTTACAAGGGGGGTCCTGTGTGTGTGGCTGGCAGCTTTTAGGTATCCTGCACTTAAAATCTCAGTGTTGATTTTGCTTCTCCTTTGCAGCAGGAGAATTTTTTCATAAGATTTAAGGGGCACAGTGTGTGTTTTGTGGCAATTGCAGGATTACAAGCCCTGCCACATCTGCTGGTAAGATGGAACATAGCTGTTTTTAAGTGGCAGGTGTCGAGATCAGCTCTGTTCTCGCCTTTGTTTTATCGCTTTTTCATATTTTTAGGTGTTCCGGTGCCTTTGACTTGCAGTTCCATAGGAGACAAACAGAACTTATTTTGCAAAGTGGGGGAAAAAATAAACTAAAAAAAGTGGGCCAAAAGGAAAGGAAGGGGGCTCCAAAAGGCTGTAAAATTGTGCAGAGTAAGTCCTGTGCTGCATGCTGTTTTCAATCTGCTGTGTGCCAGTTGGAGGCTCTGAGAGAGCGCGAGAGAGAGGGAAGGGATAATGCTGAGAAATGATAGAGTGGCTGTGACCTCCAAGCTCAGCCTGGAAATCCAAGACATTGATTTCACTTAGCATTCCTGCTGAGAAATCCGGCGGAGTTCAGTTGTAATAAAAGAACAAGATTCTGTTCTAATGGTAATGGCGTATGACAGACATATCACTTTGTCTGTCCTCAGCACCAGAGAGATGGGAATTGGAGAAAGGTCACCTGACCTGCCTGAGCTGTTGTGCGGGTGCTGTTCTGAGCTTTGAACCCCAGCCTAGGAGCACAATTATTTATAATACTACACGATAAAGAAACCTTTATAGAGCCTACAGTAATTAGAATTAAGCTTACACAATAGTGCAGTGGCCTGGCTCAGAAAACACATTGGCAAATCCATCACAATGGCAGAAACTGAAGCTTCTGTGTTGGAACTAAACGCCTTCATTTGTGTCTGTGTGGACCTTTCTTTGCTTTTTCAAAGCTTGTTTGTGTTCAACAGCCCCAAAAGTTTATTTTCTTTGCTGATTTTTTTTATATTTAATTTTTCTAACTGTCGTGAGGGAATATGTCTTGAGTTTCACAGACATTTTTAAAATATTTTTTTTAATCCTTATTAGCAATTTGCTTCCTGAAGCTAGTTTGTGGTGATCTTTCTCACTCTTACTGTACATCATACCTCCACAAATGAGCATAACTTAATGCCTTAGAATAGCTTTCAGTAGATGCTGTTTACTGAATCTCTATTTTCAGCCCACAGTTTACACTGGCACAGCTTTGGTAATACACTCAAGTGTTTGGAGACAAGGAGACAGCCTTACCTGAGAGTGTGTCAAGCTACTGGCAAACATCTAGGTCACTTCTGAAAAGCTGTGGCTTTTTCTTCTCTTGTTTAGTGTTAAAGTTAGTGTGCTGCTCTTTGCAAGGATTCTTCAAAGTCAGCCTCAGCAGCAGATGGAACAACTGTTGGCTCTAGAAATGCTGAGAAGCATCAGGGGGAGTTTGCCAAGGATCATCCTTTAAATCTAGTAAGACTTGAAAACATCCCTGAAACTCCTCTAAGACCTTGGCAACTCCTGTTTTGGCAAGCCCTTTATCAGTGGCCCTCACCAGTGTTTGAACACTGTGCTGGACAGACTACCCTGGCATCTCTTGTCATCTTGCTCGCCTTTCAGCAGATGTGACCTGGAATAGTCAAATTCAGTCAAATTCACTTCCGAGGGTTCTGTACTGTAACTTTTAGGAAGCCATGAAGTAGAGATGCCATTATGCTGTGCTGCACACATTCTGTCAAGTTTTGGTTAGGAAACTGAGCTGGTGTCGTACATTCTTCCAAGAAGAAATCCATGCCAGAAAAACTGATTTAAGAAACAGAGCTAGTGGAGCCTGTCCAAAAGAAAAATGCGTGTGTCTTGCGGAAATGGATTTTAACACAGCTTCTTCTTGAGCAGTTTTAAAAACAGCCGGTATGCTAATCATACCATTCAAATTTACCAAGGCCTCCTCCACAACCCGTTTGAAAGGCAACTATCTTTGAAGTTTGCCAAATTGTGCTGGATTTCCGAAGTCTGTCTTAATCACATTTTGCCTTTGATCCTGTAAATGCTTGCATGCTGCCCTGTTGGGTGTTCAAGGTGGTTGCAGGCTCCCAAGTAGGAGAGATCAGGCAGAGGTGCAGGTAAGAATTAGGCAGAATAACTTTCCAGCCCATCTTGTGATTCATTTCAAGCCTCTTGCTTGTATAGGGCCATGCACAAGATAAAATAAAGCAATGCTGTAGGCACTGTGTTTATCTGAACTGCGACCTTTAGCATGCTACCAGGACTTTGACCTGATAGCTCTAGTCTTCACTGGCTTCAGATCAGGTGCTTCATACTCTTGCATAAGGACAACAATTTCACCCTCACTTGTAAATGGTCAGGGCCCTGTTCATTCCTGTCTTTGTTTCTTGCTTTTTATGTGGCATGGATAAATATAGCACCTAGTGCCTGCATGCTGCAATATTCTAGCCCTTTCCATGTAACCTTTCAAGTGCAGTAATTCTAGAGTGAATTTTCAGTGTAGCTTGTAAATGTAGCTAAACGATTCCCCATATTTAATGGAGCACAGTGTATTGTCTGTAGCATCTGCTGTAAAACAGGAGCAATTCAGTGTGAAATGTGACAGGAGAGAATTCCTGGGCACTGTTCTTTTAACCTTGTTGTGACCTCAGCCCTAACCCTACTCACAGTTGTGTCTCCATCAATAACAAGAGCACACAGATTGTCGAAATCAATTTTTTTTTCTATTCAGTTACTTCTGGCAGTGATGCTACCATTTGCTCAGCAGTAGCACCTGGGAGTTGTGACAAGGAAAGGAAATGTGTTTCAGACAAGCCAGAAACAGCACTAAGCAGCTGGATATACAAAATCAGTTTCTCTTCAGCTACAATATTCAGACAAATATCGATCTGAATCTCTAACTGAAGAGGGTGCTTTAGTTTCACTTTATCTGATCACCAAAGTGAACACTTCTGATGGAATTTTCTTCGTGTCACCTGTAGGCAACAATTAAATGGTCTTTGTAAGTTTTAGTGCTTGTGCAGATGGGCCTTAAGGTGGCCAGAGTCTCTCCAGAAGAACTTCTTCCATTTTTGAGGAGTGTTTGCTGATGGTGCTACAGTTGGTGCCACATGCACCAGCTGTGTCTTGCATCCTGGTTGCAGCATGTGAAGGACAGAAAGGGAGGAAGGTGTGCTTGCTCTGTTCTCACCCAGGGTAGGTCAGGGAACTACAGAGTCACTGCTGACTTTTTACCAAGTCTGTGTGAGACCAGGGAAAAAATAAAGAATAAGAGCCTTTGGAAATGGGCATTTTAATTCAGACATGCCATAGGCTGTCTCACTAGGAAAAATAATTAAGCTATGGGGTTGTGGATTTCTCTGTCCCAGTCAAAACTGATGATGGGACTAGTAGTTTTAGTAGGAAAGCTTTCTTCATTCAAGATTAAAATATAGTATAAAAAAGGAAAAGAAAGACATCTGAAGGAAAGAAGAAAAAGCCCTAAAACAGTAAAAAGGCCCGTAAAACTCAGCTATATGATATTTCTGATTCTACTTAACACAAATTATTGACTTGAACTTCATTTTCAGTCACTACCATAAGCAGCCCTATGAAGCTGGGTGCAAAGGTCTCCCTTTCTCTGATCTCTCCCTTTCATATGATGGTGCAGAATGTGGAATTTTATCCTGGGAAGATCTTGGGGAAAACATTATTTCCCATTATGTGCGTAGCTGCATCAACTCACTCGCCATATCCCTCTGAGTGTGGCAGAAGCCTGGCTGAAAAGTGGACATACAGATTCCTTGTACCATCAGAGCTGCTATTTTTGAACATGTTAATGGGAAGCATCTAATTTAAATTAAAATAATAAAATTACTATGTACAGGTAATCAAAGGGCCATGACTGTGTTGGATGGGGACAAATTCTTATCCTTGAAGAGCAGAGATGAGGAACCTATCTGAAACTAACCCACAGGACATGTTAGGCCCTGTACACTAATGGCAGCCCTTGTCCTGTTTATTGCTTGGAGAGCTCAGCAGCTGCTGAGTGCCTGTCCAAGCAACAGGAAATTAAGGCATCCTTATTTTCATTAGAGTACTAAGGTATTTTAGAATGAAGGACTTTAATTCTCATTAAAGTGTTGTAAAACAGCATCCCTGATAAAACCCTGGGGCTATATTTACAGAAGTTTTATCTTCAACATTTGTAAGCTCCTCTATTTTTTGAGAATTTCTACACTGGACACAATTCTTTATATGCCACGGATTTTAAAAAATCCTTACTAAATTAATCTATTAATCTTTTCAGCACCGGAATAACAATTAGCACTAGAATATTATGCATCAGTACATCAAAACAAAAAACATTTTTCAGTGATTGCATTTCGCAATCTCCTTGCCAGAGCATCAGACAGG